AAAACCATGTGTCTGTTGCTGTTAATAATTCTCTTTCTTCCCCTTCATTCTATGTGTTTCTTCCAACTATAAAAACTAATTGATTCGTCATTCAGAATTGAAATCAGTGACTATCATACTTCAGTTTTGTTTTATCTATAGCTGAAGTCAACATAAACTGAGGAATGATTACTTAATCTTGTCAAGGGAAAATTCTAATTAGTTTATTGTGTTATTATTCTATTTTCCTAATATATTTGGTGCCATGGTGTGTTTAACTGACCAAACAAATAAATAAATACTTTCATACTGAAGCATGTTTTAAGTAAATAAAGTTTATTCACATGTTTGCATTTGGCTTCGAATCTAGCTGGCCAGTGAGATTGCTTCACTATCCTCACTGGTGGTATAACTATGAGAATATGGTCAGTGCATCTGAGTTATTATCATTTCTGTCCTTAGTGCTCTGTTAGCTTTATAAACAATCTGCTAATATTTCGAATGATTCATCCTCTTTGTTGTCACTTTTCCAGGCAAACTATTGAAGTCCAGTCGTACTGCTGTTGAAGCTTGTAACAAAATATGGGTTCTTCTTGGAATGAAACTGGTTGGTGGGCTGATCAGGAAGGTTTGTTAATTTTTCCACTAGTATGTCCTCTTAGAATCTGAACTTTCGTATGCTCACGAAAAACTAGATAGAGTACTACAAATGTTGATAGAAGATCCATCTAGAATGTATGACTGTTGAAGCACGTAGTTTTAATTACTTAATTACAGAAAGAATAGTACCAAGTACAAGGATGACGTGGCAAGTCGAAGAGATTCTGCTGAAAAAGAAAAATATAGAAGCCCCTTTTACAAAGTATCTCCAACTGATATCAAACGAAAGAAGCGACGAGAACCTTCTGATGAAGAAGAGACTTACAAAGGTTTGTCACTGAGCTACTGGTAAACTCTTTTAGAATCATTTGTTATAAAGGTTTTTGAAAGAAGTGTGGATTTTGGTCAGTTCAGTGAAAATGCTGCCTTGTATCCTATGGCAAGAGCCTGGATTCGCAACCTAAATCAAGGTGATTCTTCATCATGGAATGACGTACCATCCATGGACGATGATCAAGAGGTATTGCTTTCTAATTATCCTGAGTGTGTTACTTTTCTCATTTTTAAGTTCGTTTGTGTAATAACAGGAATAATTAATAAAAAGTGGGACCATAGATAAGTTTTTCTAACCTTTCGCACTAGACAGTTCACTAATGATTAGGAGCTAAGTGCATAGAATAAGTGGTACCGTACTTAAAAAGTAAGTTTATTCAAAATCTCTTAGTTTGAGAATGGGTAACATTAACTTGATCAAGTATGGACTCTCAGCTGGAGACAACAAAGAAGCATATTCCTAGTCTCATTATTACTTAGAGGGAGTTCAAAAAGCATCTTACCTCAAAAACTTCCTTTTCTTTGTAATACAATATACTGATTGGTTGGTTAGTTATAACTTTAATTAATGATCAGTGAGCGTGTTACAAGCATCACTGCTTCCGAGATAAGTCATACCGAGAAAAATTACCACTGCTCCCTAAGTATCTGTTATTGGCTACTTTAATTCTAACCTTGTCAAACGTAAATGCTGCCTCATGTTACGGAGGTTAGCAGCAATGGGTCGATAAAAGTACCATTATAATAATAACTAGTACCAAAGGAGTTTTCCAATACTTGTATAATTCGTTAACATCTGACCACATAAACGGTTAACTTCAGAATATGAATGGAAATAAAGGTTTGTTGAATAACTCCTCATTATTAGCCGCTAGGAGTTTGTTTCTGTGGTTCATTGGGATCTTTAGTAAGCATTCATCCAGAATATTTCTATGTGACTTTCACCTGTTATCCTTGTTAGTCTAGCATTGAATTTTGTCCTGTTGTGTTGAACAGGTGTTGTTCGGTATCGGAAAGCGTTGAAATCAGTCACTGTAAATGCAACTTGACAGTCATGTGCACTAAGTGAGGAACCACATGTGCTGTGTTAAGTATGTTGTTTATCTATTGACACCATAGCGTATATGGAGTTCCATAATATGACTAGCAGACAGTAGGCTGTTTAAGGCAGTTTTCGATTCAGTGACATAGAGGAATTCATTAATGATACTAAAGTCCTACAGTAACCTTGTCGCAACATTCAACCGTACAACACTAAAAGTAGTCATAATATCTGGTTTCTAAGCACAATCAATTACATTGGACAAAATGTAGTAAAGTATAGGCTTCAGCTCTTGACGTAGTTACGCAGTTCCTTAATAATTTAATATACTTGGTTATTGAAATAATAGAGATTTGTAGCTCAGGTAGATGATTTGCAGTTAGTAGTGCTCTCTGAGCTGGTTGGTTTAGTTGTGGAGCTTTCGTCGTCTTTGTGGACGACATCTTCAGCACAAGTTTTGGCATAAAGTGAACTGATTTAAATTTTCCATGAGTGATAGAAAGAAAGCAAGTGACGAATCTGATATGATGTAATCCCAGTTCACCCAGGCAGGCAGCTAGAATTCGGCCTTTAGGCTAAAACTAAACTAGCATGTTGTTGAAGAACTCAGCTCCGAATGAGCCAAGTAGTTAGCAACACTACTGCTTGACGTAAAGAGTTCCTAATTACTCACGAATCAATAGTATACACTTTCCTCCTGGTTTTCTAATCAAACATCAGGTTAGAATTACCTACTGTAATATGTCAGTTCTAGTTGTCTTTCTTGAAGTGGCTCAAGAACATAGATCTTTTCTAGGAAGCAGTGGTGAGAAGAAAAGCGAACGTCTGCATAACTCTTACATTTATAAACCAGGTTCCTGAAAAGGATTGTAGAAATAATTACACGGTAAGATGTCAAATTAGCTCTTCCATTTAAATCACCCACAAAACTTATTTATATGGTTTAATTAAAAATGACACTTGGGGTTCTACTCTAATATAAGAAAATGGATTTGTAATACTTCATTACCTCAAGCAACTCTAATCAGTTCCACATTTGTGAATTTGCCTCTCGTGAACAACGCGACTTCGACCAGAACTAGGTTGAAGAAAGCTATTGGCCAGAGCAAGACGTAGGCAGTGTTTAATTAGCTAGAAATCACGATAGGATATTTCTGAGCACTACCATACAGTACTTAAGTGTAACAAATTTCCACCCCATCTTGCTTATTGTGATGTGATTTTAGTTATGGCGTTCGATATTTGCAGCTGAAGTTATGGATGCTCTAGTAGTTTTGTTGTCAAAGATTTCGAAGCAAGTGTAGATACTATCTTCAATTGCCTCTCCCTGAGGGAATAGATTTGACACGCTTATTTAATTGAATATCTCATCGTGAGTCGAGTGCATTTTAGTTGGGTTCTATCCATGAGGTTGTGTTACTGATGTCGCTGGATTGAGTTTCCTTTGAGGATAACTTAATGTCACTAACCTAGCTTTTTTGTATCTAATACATATAGTTGCACATGTCTGTAAAGACTGACATGAATATATATCAAACAATTGTGTAGTACCTAACATCGTCTTTTAAACATTTGAACACGAAGCGATTTATGCCAATACACTATAATCTTGTTGACATTTGTCTTTTAGAATAATGATCAACTTCCCGATTGTCACTATGCATTACCTAAGCCAAGTGATGGCTTTACTGATAACGAAATTCGTATACCCCCACCTCTACCATCTGAAGGTCAACCATTCCTTATTAATATTGAGGTAATTGTCGCTATTCATGCTAATTGTTTTAAAAATCTAGAATCCGCCAAAGGAGATGTCACCTGAAGGGTTACTGGAACAACACATTGTTCGTTGGAGGGAAATTCGGAGGAAGTAAGTGATGCTTTTAAAAACTGAAGTCCCTGAAAACTTTCATCCACATCCATCTTACTCAGACGTGTATTCTGCTAACTTCTTAATTTTATTTTAATTAGCTTTCTGTACGACTGATTGTGGCATTTTTTAAACAAACATTTAGTTAGCCTTTAGCCGGCCAATGAATCACCATTCATTCATCCAAAAAGACATACTAGCGTGTATATACTCAAATGCTTTGGAATTTGCTTTAAAACGCAGGGTCGGTGAATGTCACTACAATTGTCTACAGATTTCATATTTCGTTTCAGAGCGTTTTTCATACGAAATCCCCACGTATATAATTGGGTTAATTAAACAGCATGACTTGCACATTATTTTTTAGTGAAGACAAGATAAAAAAAATGAGATTAGTGAACCAATCCGCATGTATGTGAAAGTATTTAGTTGTAATTGAAATAATAGTACTCCTTATAGATTATGTAGAACGTTTATAAATAGTCACAGGCCACTTGATTGAAGGGATTTTCAACGATACTGACTTTGATGAAAGTATGCTCTCAAGAACGGAAAGTTCAATACCGAAACTTGGAGAAACCTTTTACTGTATTAGTATTCTGTTTTCCTATTGCACGTAAAATTTATCGATTAAATTTTTGAAATATATAAAAATGAGAGTTCTAAACCGTAAGACTTATTGCTTGTTCTCTAATTATTATAAGACACAATGCGACTCGATAGTTTGCCATGCATATTTTCGGAAATGTTCACCAATTCCGAAACGTGTTAAGTCAGCCATATGAGTTTGGTTGACACCTGAAGTGATTACCATACAGCACTGAATGTGGATAAAACGCAGGTCATACGCTGGAACTCTCTTTGTTTAGAATTTGAACGGACTCTAAATACCATACCAACATTCACTAAAAGTTACTTAGTTGTTTTGCGGAGGAATCTTTTTCGAATTTTGAACAGTAATGGAGTTATACATACGGGAAAATCAAAAATTCAATTCAGTAGTGGAGTTGTATTTTAAAAAAATCATTTCGTTTTAATTTTCAGATGGAAAGCCGCCTGTCGTGACAACGAAGAACGGTATCTGGACTCCTATCTTATTCTTAAAGAAACGTATGATAAATTTTGTAAAGACATGCCATAAAATCTATGATATTTTAACGTGTTCAGTGTATATTTTCATAAAGGTAAACATAAATTATAAAAACTTTTTTCTGTTAATTCAGTTGTTTTGCACCAACGTATCCAGCCTTCTTCACATAATTCACTGATAGTAGGCTCCTTATTCGTTCTGTAACAGTGAGGGTCCTAGAAAAAAGTGGAGAGGTAAACGTAATCTGTTTTAAAAAGTATTCTTCAATAAATAATATCATGCGTGTAGTGACTAATGTACACAATATGACTTATGATGGTGGTATACTCGACTATAATTATGCTTCACATACTTATTGAAAAAGTGGGAACTATTTCGGTGCATTTACTTTTGCAACATGCATATATTATCTTTACTGACAGGTTTTACTCCTGACTTAGTAACATCTACTGATTACTGCAACTTGGTTTAATAATAAGTCGGTCAGAGTATGTTATGTATTTTCATAGCCCGTTGAAAATTATGCTGACACAATTGCCCTGAGTATATTGGCGTGTACTGTGCTTGTATTAACTCAGGTCACTATAGCCTACAATTATTTTGCTTCCTTTACTTGGTAGTTGGCGTACTGCGAACTTTTAGTAATTAAAAGTTTATCAGCATAACGAGAAGTTTTCCAGTCTGAACTTTCAGATTAGAGTTTTTGAAGCATGTTAGCTACATGACTAATATGGGTCATTATCTTTAGCATTTTATTGTAAACACTTGATTGACCTGCTTCAGTGTAAGCGGTCTTACATTACATGTGGTTTATAGCCTAATATGCAAATGTATTTGAGCCGGGTGACTGAATTCCTATATACCTGTTTTATAACTATTAAGGCGGCTTCTTCGATTACCTGCATAGAATACAGTCTTTAGCGACTCCCCAACTAGAATAGCAGTGATGCCATGTAAACAAACACAGTCATCTGTATGGCTCCATATCCAATTACAGTAGAAAGTGTATATATCAACAAAGCATTTTATACTAAATGCTTTTATCAAGAAAAAGCGATTGAGTTGTGATAACTGAGGCATTATTTTTGCCAGTCAAAAATTTTGTTGCTAAATGGAAATACTTGTACTGTCAGTCACATAAATTGATGCAGACTTTCTGGAGGCTATGTATGACGTGAGTGAGAGCAATCGACGACTACCAATTGCTTAGTTGTCATTTACACCCATCGGCAGGTACTAAAATGTATGTGTGCCACAGCAAAAGAACTCAGGCTCAAATTAGCAATCGTACGAAAGTCTGTGTGAGAGCTAATAACTGAAAAGAAGTGTTAAAAAGTCAAGGAATTTGTTTGGCGGTCATCCTATGTTGAAGACTTCAAACAATGAACATTGGCCTTGCAAATGTAATATTTACTTTTTTGCTCTTATAGACGAAGCCGCGAATAAACTTACGCATATAAACAGCGTTGTAGACTGTTTATGAGCTGTCTTTACTGCAAGTATTCCTTTAGAAGAATTGTCGTTTAAACCACCTAGAAAGTTAGTAAGACATGGAACCTACCAAGCATAACCGGTGATCCTATTGTTGAGAAATGGTTAACGAGCGATTCCGTAATTTCTTCCGTAAAATTGCCCTTATTTACATGAATTATTTTAAAGTTGCTCTGAAGGCTCTGTACACTACTTGGGTACTCACTTTCGTAAGTTGTTGAATTACTAAACCACACTCGTATGTCCCAATCCAATCATGGGAGCCTACAAAGGTTTTTGGCTTGTCTCCGATTTCGTATAGAGTCTGTTGTATGTCAGATATTGTAGGCATATCGAAAGGACACTGTTTCGTCAGTTTATACCATGACAGGATAGTTTGTAGAGTTCTGTAGCCACAACCCCAACCCTAAACGTAGATTAGGAGGTATGACTTACTCGATCATCATTCTTCTGGGCACCATAGTGATAGTAATAGCAAGAACCTCCAAAGCCAGCTTTGGTATGCCCCTTAGAATCTTCACCAAGTGCTGACAAACACGTATTTAGGTTTAGCATCAACATGGATTCTATCTACGTATCAGGGAGAAACAAGCAGTAACGGAGAAGTATTCGTGTCATTACTGAACAATTATATTAAATTCTATTATAGTGACTCTTAGGAAAAAAGTTTGAACTTACGATGTGAAGGGATTTATGTTCACAAACAGTAGATGTTATGTATAAGGTTGAATGACACCTGCAAACTGGTATATACGCTATTGATAGAGTCTGTCACGGACCTCTCTTCACTTTGGCTGTGGTATCTACGCTACTGAATGAATACTGTCACATGTACAGTGTGGACTAACATTTATATACGCTATGTGAAAGTTTCTGAGTAAGACCGTTATCACAATGTAGTGTTTGGTGACCATTTTTGCGTAACTCCATTAAAGATAAGATTTTATTTTGATAAATAAAAAGTCCTCCCATAAAGCCTTACGTGATGACAGTGAAAATTTATTAACAAATAACCAAAGAATTTTGGGGAAAAATCCCGCAGGTTTTTTAAATAGTATGTCCAGCAAAATATTTCATTAGTAAAATCAGAAGATGAGAGAAAAGCCGACATAGATGACTCAAGTATGGAAACATTAATTTCATGGGTATCATCCCAATTTAAAAAATATTGGGGTAATTCAACGCGGAAATTCCGGGAAGATGCAACATATCTCCCAAAACCCCCGAATATATCCTAAGATAATCCTTAAATTCCCACAAAATCAACCCTAATTTCTTTATTTGGGATACAACTTCAGGTCTAGGTAGATTGATCTGAGAACTACAATGGTATGGGAAGTATTGCGTAGAAGCTGGCGTAAATAAAACACCGAGAATGAATTTCGATATACGTGATTACAGTTAGGATAATTATCATCGTGAATAAGAGTTTCTCAAGAGAGCTGACTGAGACAGATGGACTGCTTTAATGTGTAGAGTTATTTTTCAAACCTCCAAAATAGACAGTGAACCATTCCTACTGCACAAATTCTTAGTTGACTTAAAAAAGGGCAAAGTTAAATTATCACAGCCAAAAGCAAATTAACCTTGAACAACCAATCAGACTTTAGGTGCAAAAAAGTCGAATAATCGTTGGAAAATACAATAAAAACATTGCAAACATGACATTACACTACACAGTTGTCGTTTATGTGTTGTAAGAATGTCTCCCTATCATTACAAATATGTTATAGGGGGAAATCACAATGTAAGCGGCATACCCGGTGGTCCAGCTGACTGTAGGTCATGGTACTTTGAGATCTATTGATATTTCTGATGCTGTACTACTCCTTATCCGAACTTTAACCCTAAACCTTAATTTAAACAGACACAACCTTATCCAACAGCACAGATACAGAGAAAAGTACCTGGGTAATAGATAGAATACTTTATCTAACTTCTTCAAGTCCAAAAAAGCAGATATGATACACAACTAGATTGGCGAACGAAACACGACTAGTTCTTGCTGAATATGAGCTACGAAGGCTTGAATTAAGCTGAAAAAATGCCACTATGTGCTGAACTTAGTCTTTTCGTTCTAAAGTAATGCTACTCAGTGCTGAAAATGATCTGAAATAAAGCTGATAAGCTAACCCAGTAGGTTCGAATCTACTGAAAAAAGAACATGGTGCCGAATTAGCGCTAGTCATGCTGAAAACCAGCACTGAGTTCTAGTCTGTGCCATTAAACAATCCATTTCAGAACAGATTTAGAATTTATTCACTATAGGATGCTGGAATATTATTTCAGAATTATAGTAAGCATTGGGATTAACATTTATCTAGACGAATTTCTATACAGGAATCGGTTTAACCTGACTATAAGGACTGCTATGAGAAGTTACCAGGTTTTTTTGAAACATGTACGGGGATGTTACTTAACGTAACCATCTTTTAACATTGCATTACTCGTGCGTAGATATTAATTTTATATTACGCACTTCAACTTTAGACTCATCTGATTGATCGACAAAGACTTGTCAAGGTCTTTGGTAAATTCAGATTTATTGGTTGAGGACAGAAGACTTCGGACCTATGTCAATCCTTTTCTACTAAGTTTCTTCGCTTTTCCGAACCCTCGTTGAGGGAGTCCATTGAAGTTGCGGGCACAGCTTCCTCTGGGAGTCTGTTGCAGGAGTTTGACAGAAATATAGTTTCTCCCTGACTTTCGAACTCTCCTACTATGTCCTCTAAGGTGTTCCGACCTGGTGGGAAAGGAAAGAGGATATATGTCAGGTCCGTAGTCATTATTTAAAATCATATACATTTTGATTAAATCTTCTCTCTGATAAGGAGAAGAGATTGAAACTGTCTAGCCTTTCCTCGTTTGAAAGATTAGTCATGTCTGTAATCGTACGTGTTGCCTTCCTTTGAACCCCTTCTAGAATATGTAGGTCCCCTTTAAGATGGAGGCTGGTGGCCTGGATGCAGTCTTGAGGTGAACATATCTCGGGTGTGAGCCGCCCATAAGGATCTGGAACCACGAGCGACAATGCGTTGTAGTTTTTAAGTTGTGCCTTACTATGACACCTAAATCCAATGAGTCTGGATTGATGAGTGTTATTCCCTCTAGTTCGTTGGAGCTGATGCCTGCGTATCCAATGAGCATGGTTGGAAATTTCGCTACATTGACCGGAAGCATCTCTCCTTTTGACGACTTTAACAATTTTTTGAAGGCCCCTTGCGACGTAAGCGTATCAGTGTCGCTTTTCAGATCTCTCCAGATTTTGAGGTCCTCTACGTATAGGACCATAGTAGAATAAGTGACTGACAAAATAGATAGGAGACGCTCGATTACCGTACCCTGTGGTATTTTGCAACCCACTGTTGTCCAGGATGAGAGCTTTGAGTTGATCCTGACCCTCGGCCTCCTATCTTGGAGGAATTCCCTAATCCAGTTTAATAAGCTTCCTTTCATACCAAAACTTAACACCTTCGTGAGGCACCTTATATAAGCTTCTATTGAAGTCTATGTCCGCTGACCCGACCCAGCTTTCTTTTGCAGTGAGATCTGATAGGCATAAGAGGTTTCCTTGAAAGCCATGCAGTGCTCTGGATAACAAGTTCTTGTTTTCCAGATATGCCATGATAGCTTTCTTGCGGATTCTTTCCAGTGTCTTGATTAAGGCGCTGGTAGAACTTATAGGTCCATAATTAAAAAGGTATTGCATTGATCCCTCTTTGTGGATGGGAATTATTATGGCGTCTTTCCGGTCATGAGGTAACACTATTTAGGAGAGATACCTCGATCACAGTCAGTAGGCCGGCTATGTGAGCTAATGGCTTCTTGAGAAGCCTTGGATTTAGATTATCAGGACTAATTGATTTCCCTGCACCTAGTCTCTCCAGGCAGTTGAACATGAAGATTTAGTCTTTTCAGTTGGTTGTAAGGGATGACAGCCTGATGAATGGGTGACCCTTAACTATAGCAGCTCAAAATTAAACTATCTAGTAAACGGACTGATGACCTTGAGCAACCAGTCAGGTATGTCCGTAGTATATGGGCGGAATCACGGGTACTGTACACGAATTATGTACGAAACTTCATCCAAATCTAGTATATAAGTAATGCTTAGGCCACAGTTTCACCGAAAGGGAGAAAACGTGTAGCTGACTGTCAGCCGTGGACTACATTCATAACGTGGGCAATAATACGGACGATTTCATTAATCCTATCGATGGGGCCCACACAAATTACGTCGAAAATCTCCAGAGTCACCTAAAAAGGAGGATCGGATTGGCGAATCAAACAAGGAACACGATGAGGTGCAGTTATCTCGATGAATTTAAGCACTGAGATCGGTTTAACCTAACTAAGAGAAATTCCAGCGCTAGTGCGTTTGACTGGTGGATGGAGATTTGCCAACGCCTCTATTAGGTAGTTTAGTCTTGGGTTGCTATAGTTTAGAGTCACTGAAGAATGATGTGGAATATATACTTATAACCCATACACCAGAGACCTGGTTTATTTTGTTAATGCGAGGACAATACTTCTGTATTTCCTGATGTGTTGCACTCACTGACAATCTAGCAGATTTTTCCAACTGTGCTCAGAAATGATTGTACATAAGTGAAAAGGGTGTTTTATACTATTGAGATTAACATTTATCAAGTGTATGTATAACCTCCAGCGTACATGTAAAAAATATCTTGCTACCGCCTGTAAATTGTGACTGAATATTATGGCTCTATTCCTGTAAAAATTTGATGATGCCTGTAAACTGGCGTCCCTCATGTACTGTGCTATGGGAATAAATTTATTTATTTATTTATACGTAAGCGGCTTCAGGTCCTGCTCGACTTTAATCTTACTGGTGGTCTACGCAACTGCCGCAATAAGGAAAATAGAGGAGGAGATACAGGCAGCGATATGCCAGAAAAAGAGTAGTATTCAGATGTATATGGAACTCCAGTGTACGTATATATACATGTTTATATTTATTGTGCATGGCTGCCTGGTAAACACTGATATTGATATTCTCTTAGTATTTAATACATTAGCGCAACTAGTGTCTTTGTCTTTAATTCAGAGTAATTAATGAAGTCTCATACGGTTGCCCGAAGCTTACAAACGAGGCGTGGGCTCTGATTTCTAGGGGAAACTGTTACATATTTTAGAATACATGGCTGTGAAGAGACTTTTCGGAGGGATGGTTTAACTGTTTTCATAGTCACTGTGCAAGTATGTTT